ATTCAGAATAGTCCAAAAAATCGCAGTTTCATTTCAAATATTGGCGAGGTCAGGTCAGTAGGGTGTGCTTCGTTGCGCGCGTCCGTCGAAACTAGGTCACGCCGCAGCCGTCGCATGCGGCAGGTTAGCCCGCGATACTTGACAGACGTCCCGGTTGTCAATAGGGTGTACGATTCGCGCTTGATCCATGGCAGTCAGCTCATAGAGAAGATAACACGGACAAATGCAAATCAATCGCTCCAATGACACTTGGTGGTACTGTAATGTCATTTCGAAACCTCGGTGGGGTGCGCCGCGAGCGAAGTGGGCGGGGTGACCTACTTTCGACGGACGCGCGCAACGGACGTTCTCCCAGGTCAGAATTGTAATATGTTGTGGTAAAATGTGGTACTGAGGTTCTCTAGATGGAGATAATGATGCTCTATTCCCGAGAGGTCTTTTTTTTCTTAACACTATGTTCTAGAAGAGAGCGTAGTCTGATGATTATCGCTTGAAGTTCAACTACTATGATATGTAGTGATAAAATGTGGTGCTGAAGTTCAATACGAAAAGGCTTTTCTCCCGAAGATTAGGGAGCTTTCTAGAAAAGTCAAAAATTTAACGATCTTAAAGCGAATGATCTCGGAATGCGAATGGATTTGCTGAATATGGTTTCGAAAAAGAAACGGTAACCGACCCGACCTTACCATTTATACTGCGTCTTACTGTTTTACACCTTAGGAGATTTGTTAGAAAGTTTATTGCACAGTTCCAACGAAATAAGTGTTGCTCAAAATGTTCGAGTAATCGCAATAATGTCACGAGTTATCATTTTCACAGAGTCCTCATGGATATCCGTAAAATATTCTTGTCAGCATAGGCTGATTTGAATCACTAATCTTCTTTTTGATGGGTTTAAAAAGTCAACTGACAAATGTTAATAGCTGCAAAGAGAACTCATTCTTCTCTATGTTTTATGAGATGGTGGTAGTTTAAAAATTACCTCTCAAACACAGGGAGAACGTCCGTTGCGCGCATCCGTCAAAAGTAGGTCACCCCGCCCACTCCGCGCGCGGTGCACACCGCTGAGGTCTCGAGACGGCATTACAGTTCCACCACATGTCGGTGGAGCGAGTGACCTGCATTTGTAAGTGTTATCTTCTGTTTGGCTGGCTGTCATGGACCAAGCGCAATTCGTGTGCCTCGCTGACAACTGCGACGTTTGTCAAAGATCGCGGGCTGACCCGCCGCATGCGGCGGCTGCAACCTGGCCTAGTTCCGACGGACGCGCAACGAAACGCACCCGAAACATAGAACTGGGACAACGAACGCGAAAATTGCGAAATTAGTCTCAAAGCTCTTGGAAATTGACAAAATATATGTCATTGGTCTATGTCTCTGCAAAATTCATAAACATTTCTCTCAGACGGCCAACTGATCCCGTAGGGAAGGAATGCCTAGCTGGCTCGAGCAGGTCTCACCTCAGTCCAGGATTAGACCGCTGGATTGTGGTAGTGAGCCAACACTACTGCGTTAAGCCTTCTACAGGACATAATAAACAATAATTATGTTGAATAACAAGTAATTATTCCATAGTGAAAGTTCATTCAATCCAGCTTTAATCCAATGTTTTCATCATTTAAAATATTTTCAGCTACCAAAGCCTCAAGCTGCTGACTATACCTTCCGAGCAAATCGCGGGCACTTAAGGTTCTTGAAGAGTAGACAGTGGTGGAAAGCTCAAGTTACAAATGATAACAATGTAAATAACACTGAATAAAAAGATTTATTAAGAAAGGGTAAACAAAAGTGGCAGTTCTGATGGGCAACGTTATGTCAAAATTAATGTGGGAAACTTTTTTTGCCACCTATGGGGAACAATGTCCGAATGTTGCATGTGTGGATGTTGGAATTCAAGAAACATTTTTGGAAAACCTCTTTGGCACATTCGAGTAGCAACTTTACGCTCGATGAAAGATGTACAATAGCCAAATCCGCCGCTGCCGACGCAATCAAATTTTTTATGACCTCTGTCCCAGTCTGAAGAGCCTACCCATTGAAAAATTGGGTTACAATAAATATAAAGTTCATATTGAAAACAAAAAAATAGCTGGATTAAATATCATATTTATTTTGCAGGTACGATACTGGCCCTGTTGAAACGCGCCACCCTAATGGTACGGTAACAGTGAATCGACAAGTCATCTACTTCACAGGAAATCGTCCTCCCACTATGGATTTCCTAAAGGTACTGTAAATTCCAGTTCCTATGTGGTTGATGCAACTCTGCCTGGATGGTTTGATGACGAACTCTGTTTGCAGCAACTTCCTGGGCTTATCCACCTCAGTCGACCACTGACTGAACTTCCTCCAATTCCTGCACTTCCAGCACTTTCTGCACTTCCTGCACTTCCTGAACTCCCTGTACAATCTACACCTCCTTCTCATCCCCAACCAACGACAATACCTGCAATCTTACGGCGACGACTGAAACAACTCATGAAGATGAAGAAGAAGAAGGTTCCCCCAAGAAGGATTAACCCTGAGCCACTTCAAAATGATAGTAGACATCGTGTTGAGTGGAGCGGTAACCCACTTCCCACAATTGTATTGCCACCATTGAACAGCAATGACCACCGAGAAGTGGCACGATCTCGAGACGATAGTGAGAAATCACGTTACCGGCCAGATTGGCGCGATCAGTCCAATCCAAGGCGAGCGGATGTTCCTGAGACGTATACCGAAGCCCCCCGACAGCCCGAACCTCGACCGACACCCTCCGAATTCCCTACTCTGATACCAGACCATAGTGATCGAGATCCTATACGTTCTAGAGAACAGCCACGTTATGGAGTAGATATCAGTGTCCAGCGGAATCCAGAAGATCAAGAAAGTCTGCGAACCAGCACTGAACCTCCTAGATATCAGGAGCCCCGTCAAACTCTACCTACTGAAGCCTCCAGAGATCTGTGGAGAGATGCTAACCGAGAGGAACGGCGTCCCATAGAGCAGCCAACTCAGCGGACAGCTTGGCACAGTATGTCGCCTCAGTCACCCCGAGAGAATTACCCTTCTCCTACGCAGAGTTCTGGCACTCCCGAACGCCGAACTCCACAAATTGACATCCACTTACGCCCCAGAATCGACAACCTTCACCCTGTTGAGAGCAATGCTTTGCCCGAAGTGCAAACGACGGCTACTAGCACAACTACCACTACTTCTACGACTACGACTACTACGACCACTATGCCAACAACAGCAGATGGGCGACAACAACCTGAACCTGTGGACATAATCCGGTGAGATACAGCGACGTACGTGGATTTTGTATAGGATTTAGTATAAATGAGTTTTTCGACCCTTTTGTTATTAAAACGCTTTCAGAAAGATAGAAACGCCAATACCGCCAAGAAGAGTGGACTTCGATGAGGTTATGGCAATAGATCAGCAGATTGATGACGACTACGAAGAACCTGTAGATGACCTGAGTGATAGCGACATGTACATCGGTTCTCCGGAGGTATGTACCATAGAAACTGACCATTCCTCTAATTTTATCGTTCCTTGACCACTAAGTATGTTGCCTTCAGGTATATGACGAAGAAGAAGAAACATCTCCACCAACAACGCCACCCACTTTACCTCCACCTCCACCGCTTCATCATATTCGACCGATAGTACTGCCACCGTCGGGACATCCTCAACTACAACCGCCTTCACAGCCACAGCCAACTATGCAACCAATAGTTCTGCCACCGTCAGAACATCCTCAGCCTTCTCCTAATGAGAAGGTTCCAGACAGATCGACTAGAGTGCAGGCGGTAGATCCACGCTATCCACAACCACGACCTGCTTCGGATTTCGGTAGGTCGATGTTTTCAAACTATAAACCTAACTTAACCATTAAATGGTGAGGATGGCCACAGCATTGATGAAGGAATTTTTGGAGAACTCGCGGAATTTTCTAGAATTTCAAAAATTTTTCGAAGAGATCATCTTCCCCTTCCTGACTATACACTCAGAAAACTTTGGTGGCCAAGATAGATGGCCCACCAGAGCTCGATACAACATACATGTGCAATAGGTCACTATGCCCCACACCACCTCCTCCCATCGTGAAAAAAAAATTCAGAAGAAGTCGAGCCCTTTAGCAAATCATCAGACTTGAATTTTTCGGATTTTCGCAACTTTTCTGGGTTTACAGAATAGTAACGCGACCAATACAAGACATAAATGATCAAAATGAAGACATTCAGATGAACTGCAACATGATGACTTCTCTTTCAGAAAGACCTTCTTCTACGGAGGCACCGCCTGCAGATTATTCCGAGCAAGTCGGTAAGTTAGTTGCATTTTTGGGATAAAAGCTTCTCAGAAGCTCAATGAGAGGTTAAAGTAGAGAGGGTAAGTTAGGCGGCAGTCATTCAAAAAAGTTGGTAAGTATCGGCATGGTCCTTCCCATTTGCTTGCCGATGATGTTCTACTATCTCAGACGGAGGGACTCTTCAATGCTCCAAGAGTAACATTGATCCATAATCATCTTTGGACACTTAATGTATATAAAGAGGGTCTTGGTCATAGGAATTCATGAACATTTCCAGAGTTTGAAATCCAACCTATCGGGGTGGTTCGGAGGTGAAGATGCCGGTGAGGAACAGGTGAAGACGATTCGAGTTTGGATCAGGTTCAAAAATTGATATCGATGATGTATTATACCATTGAATGATTGTGTTTGTTGCTTTCAAAAACTTGCTTTGTTTGATGAACTGCCTTATTATTGCTGCATTTATTCCCATTGGAGGTCTGAGTAAAGAGTCGAACTTTTGTAAATGAAATGGTCTCGAACCCGTACCCATATTCCTATGGGGCAGTGTTCATCCGTCGCCGAAAGCTCGGGTCCTTCACATTTTTGTGGCGCAACTGACATAGCCTAGCACTATCTGATCATCCAAATGACGCTGTTATGATATGTAAATGAGCCACCAAGATACCCGAGCGAATCCCATGGGTCTTTGTAGTGTAATGGACATGTGCGGGAACCGAAAAGAATCGGTACGGGTTCGAGCTCTGTCTTGGCCGAAGCTCTTACTCAGCACTCTTGGGATCGTCACAATTAGTCACTCTAGTCTCTTATACGATATTATGTAAATGAATAAAGTTATTTGTGAACAGTGAAGTTTGAGTATTTGCGTAATCTTTAGGCTTTATGATCACTATGCATAGAATATCCATAAGCAACCCATAGGGCCCTATCCACATGGGAAAGCAGCGAGTTTTTCGAACAAATCGAATCTGTTTAAAGGCACAGTTCACGGCAATTTTGAGGTTCCCGTTTTCATTCGAAAAGCGGAACTGTAGAATGGGAGTAGTTCATCGGTTGTGAAGAAAGCAAGAGAAGTCGCCGATTTCGAGAACAATAAGGCTCCTCAAAGGTAGGAAAAGTAAAGGTTGGACGAGATTCCCATGACGGAAATAACATGGAAGGGGTATTCGGACGAGATTTCAGATGTTGCAGTTGCTCAAAGAACTGACCACATCAAGCCAGAACTGTACAGAACTGTCTTTCACTGTCGCTATGGGTCATGACAAGTTGTTTGAACTTCCTACATGGGTTCCCTTGTGATCGGTGCAGCCTTTGCATGCCGGTGAAACTCGTCCGAGGGTACACACGAGCCAATCTTCAAGCCTTCATAACTCCCTAACTAGGCCGTTTTCCGACCTAATAGTGCCAAATAAAGTGAAAGCGGAGGCCTCGAATTCATCCTGTGGGGGAATCCCAGAAACCATTTTCATCGTGAAGTGTGCCTTTAAGAAAGGAGCTTCAGTCAAAAGCAAACTAACAGTTCTCAAAGGCGAAAGCGGCTGTTCACACAACGATTTCCATCATTAAATGGTTTATTGGAGCATTTGATGGCTTATTTATTATTGAATAAATAAATTTACTTATTTATTCATTCGTTTATTGGCTCGTTTATTAAATATTCTGAAAATCATATTATAAAACGATTAAATGGGACTGAATACTGTTTCAAAAAGTTCTAAACAACAGCATTATCATAGCCATGTTCCTTCTACAACAATACAGCCCAAAAACCCGTACCACTGTGAAGATAGTGGAGGGTCTATTGAGTATTGATTGAAAATATTGGTTTCTCAATTCCGGAGGTATTATCGCGAACAGCTGAGGCTGTGATCAATACCTTTCTCGGAATTCGGTGATTTTTCCACTCTTTAGTCTTATTCAGTGATTGTTCTTCGCTGAAGTTCACTTATCTGACCCATTTCTCGGAGATTAGCGTGTAAGGCCTAGTAGCAATGATAACGCGCCTGCTGAGTCACTTTTTCAGGCCCACAACATTGTCGGTCCCCTTTACCATCCATTTTCCCCATTTTCACCAGTGTTCGTCAAATACACCCGTTTTTATGGTAATTTAGTAGTATAAAGTGTAATCAGTAACTACAGGCTGATAAAAATGTTAAAAACAGCACTGCTTCTGCTGCTTTTTCAACACACCTTCGCGGTTCATAATACAGTGAACACATGGGATGGACTGTTACAAGTATGTACTCTTAGATTCCTATTGATATTTGTTTAGTATGGATTTTGTTACAGTAAAATATTTGGTAATTCAAGCTGATGTGTGGCAGTTGACAACCGGACCTATTGTCATCCGTGCTAGTCTGTTTTACTATGCAGAATAGTGAAGCTAGATGTTTAGTATGATGAAGACTGGGGTTACGTCGATATACGAACTGGAGCTCATACATTCTGGTGGCTCTACGCCGTGAAACCAGCAAACGGTCGACCATTGATCCTATGGCTACAGGTTGGCTCTAGCTACATATTACATATTTGTTGACTACAGTAACCGCTCAGTAAATAACTACTGAGCTCAGAAGCAGATACAAACCCCATTTTCATTTTTCCCATGAACTTAAAAACTGCAAAAAGCTGACCTTGTCTATCGTCAGCTTTCGGGGAACCATCCACATTGCAAAGTCTCCTTCACCTCATCCCTTCTCTTCCTCTCCTCTCTCGCCTCCTCGTGGGCTCCTCCGAATTTCAGACGGACCCATTTGTCAACATGATCGATTTCCCTTCAAGATCTGATCGTCTCCGATAATAAAAACTTCTCTAAAGTAGTTGGATAATTCATCTACTTCACTCCGTCCTGTTTGAAACAGAAGCGGACCCGTTGACTGCCCTGAGAATTGTAGAGTCGGGGCAGAAAAAAAGAAGACAAAGGGAAGGTAGAACGCCGTAGACAATGCTAACTATTTGGGTCTAAAAACTTTCGAAAGGAATGTAATATTCGTTTTAAGGGTGGACCAGGAGCATCCAGCACGGGCTTCGGCAATTTCGAAGAGACTGGACCGAAAAGGATGAACTCATCGGATAATATAGCCACATGGGTAGATTACAGTTGAAAATGATACTGTCATTTTTCCACTTACATTGGATCCTCATTGTTTTACAGCTTCAAGTAGCCGATATGGTCTATGTGGATAACCCTGTTGGAGCGGGTTTTTCCTATGTCGATGACGATTCAGCCTTTACAACAGATGTTGCCCAAATCGGCCAGGATTTGCTAGCATGGCTTCGTCAATTTCTAATTTTGCACTCGGAATATCGTACAAGGCCGTTTTTCATATTTTGTGAGAGCTACGGAGGAAAGATGAGTGCTGAATTTGCCCGAGTTATTACCCAGGTGAGCGCATATTTCAAGAACTTTATTTTTATTTTTATTTTTACAGTTCTACCTTGAACCTTTTGTCTTTTTTCATTTCAAATCGAGCCAACATTTCCATTTGTTTAATTACTTATGTATATCTAGCCCTCAGCCCCTTCTCGATTCCCCACTAATCCTCACGCAGGTCTTTCAAACCTAAACATTCGTAATTTCTCGAAAATTCCCCATTTCAAACTCCTGACTTTAACAAAAAGCTATGAATCTTATCTTATGCATATTCATTTAAGAAACGACATCCTTCCTTGTTCGCTGTTTTACTTGTTTACTTATTTACTTGCGCAAATCAATAAGTAATGGTAGTAATGACGTCCATGAAAAATAAACAACCTATATATAATTTTTCTAAAAATCCAAGTAGCAGTTTCTTTATAGGAAATTGCCGCTGGCACTATTCGTCTGGATTTTCGTGGAGTAGCTCTGGGTGATTCGTGGATTTCTGCTATGGACTACGTCAACACGTGGGGAGAGTACCTTTACGCAAATGTAAGTAATCTTTACTCATAAAAGTTCAGAGATAAAGTTTTTGGCGTTAATCAATCCCGTCTGGGGAATGCGCTCGCGCATTCGACTTCCACTCAGAATCGTAGGGTCGTATTGAATGCTGGGCTATACAGTGACTTACCAGGTGTACAAGTCCCAGTAGGGATTGAAGGAGCGCCCTCATAGCAACCAACGTTTTCGAAACAGTAGCCTTGATAAGTAACTGCAGAAGTCGACTTCTTGAACTTTCAGTCCTATCTGGACAGTAATCAACTGGCTCGTGTGAATGCTCAGGCGAAAAGTTGTCAAAAGAAGGTAGACCAGGAGCAATGGGCTCAAGCGACTACATGTTGGGGAAACATGGAAGATCTCATTGAACTGGTTAGTCGTCTTTATAACCACCGAAAATCTCTGGTAGAAACGGAGTGCTTCAGGAGACAGGTGGCGTGTCATGGTATAACATACTGAAGTACGGTGGACAGGACGATTGGTCGAAAAAACGGCGAAAGAGGGCAGCGTACCGCTCAAGAGGTATACTTACCTCCAGTTATACTATAATAACTATTTAAATCGCTCTTTGTTATTATTCCTGGTTATTTATATTTTGTTTATTTCTTTATAAACTTATTTATTCGTTTAATTTACCTTAACCCTTCTTGAATTTTACAACAACTCAAAAGCTATCCCTTTCCGATCTCAACAAACATCGGTGTGACATACACAGTCGATATCTTGGACCGCCCTAACTACATAGTAGGTGCTCAACTTGAAGGTACTCGTTCTAGATCGACAGTTTAACCGCCACGTCGCAGCTCTACAAACAGATGCCCTTTCTAACTACATGGATACAACTGTCCGTAACAAACTTGGAGTTATTCCAGACAATGTGAAATTCGGAGGTCAGCTTCTACCTTCAGAGAAGTTGTCCCAGCATTTGGTGACGTCATACAGACTGCAAGGTACTGTAACTTACTGTAAATATTTTTTAGCACAGTCGAATGCTGTATTTAACAAGCAACAAGGGGATTTCATGAAACCAAATTGGGATACGGTCGATGAACTTCTGATGAATGGCACCAATGTGATCGTTTATAATGGAAATCAGGATTTAATATGTGACAGTATCGGTTAGTATTGACTTCTTTCGATTGGTCTATAGTTTGCACCTTAATGGATTTTGGATCAATTGCAAGATTACTGTAATGGAAACCTAGTTCGCAGAGTGGCTGTAAAATATTGGTCCGTTACCTAATATTTTTAAACCCAAATCGACATGGACGAAGTATGGTTTTTTTGCAGTTTGTGATGTTAATCAGGCTTTCTAATTCCGCTCCTTAACATGCTTACCATAACTAAGCAGTCACCTAGCCCGATTAGGGCTTGACTTTCCTCCTACCTGTTCACAGGAGAGTCGAATTCTTGGCTAACTCCCCTCACCCCATTCTCTTTTGGAACAAATGATATCGCTATGAACACGAAATTCGTGGGGAGGGTTGAGGAATTCCGAGAACTAATACCAATCTGGCGCTATAACTGTGGTTCAGGACCCGAAAAGAGGAGAGCTCCGCTGTCTGAGCCCGCCTGCATCTGAGATCCTAAGTTTTGTGGGGGAATCTCTAAGCTCGCCCCACTTTTCTGTCAACCCCTCATTTCCGGGTATGGGTAAATATGTGCGTCCGA